CTGAGCTCTCAGGGGGCTCTGGGACCCTGTTTTTTCCAGGTCTCACTGCCTCTTCTCCTCCCATCTCCCCCCATCACGGGCAGAAGAGCCCTTCCCTGTCTCCTAGGAGCTGCACTGGAGAACATGAGGTGTGAACTCAGATCCGGGACTGCAAAGGGATTGATGATGACAGGAGGAGGCCTGGCTTCAGTCACTGCTGCCTGGCAGCCAGGCAGTGATTGGATTTGTGCTCTACACATATTTTGGGATCAGACTAAGGGATTGGATCCATACTTATCGTGAGCAGAGGGGTTCAGCTGCAGCAGTGAACCACAAAGAAGGAAGGGCCAAAGGTCCATGGTGCTCTGTACAATCTCAGGGAAATGTGTCCTGCTCCCCCCTCCCCACACAGACAGCTGAGTGCTGAGAAAGCTTTTAAGGCAAAAAACCTATAAATAAAGAACGCTGTCCCTGGAACACAGAGCTTAAAATATGATGGCATCTCCCCCAGACTGTGAATGGGTTCCCTGAAGAGCTCCCCCAGTCCTGAGGCCCTCCCTTTCCCCACTCCCCTCCTGGGAAAATTGGAGAGGCAAAGGGCTGCTGCTCCAGCAGATTTGCAGGAGTGGGAGTTGAAGAATCAATGAAGCTCTGAAAGCCAGTGGGGAAAGTCATTCTGCACCTTCCTGACACCAGGAATAAATGATTCAGCGCGAAAGGAAAAAAAAAATACAACAACCCTCAAATGAGGCTGGAATTACCCACTGGAGAGATATTTCATCTTGAAGAATTGTGTTTGCTGCAGTGTTCATCTCACTGAGCCACAGCAAGGCTTTAATATCCAGCAAAAGGTCAAACCTAAATGGGAATTGGGAGAGCCTGCTGGAGCTCCGACGCCAGCGCCTGCACACACGGCCGAGCTCCCAGTGCCTCACACGGAGCAGCCACACCAGGCCAAGGCCTGAAACAGGGAGTGGAGCTGAGCTGGACCGGGCAGGAACAGCTCCCTCTCTGATGGGATCCCAGGCACAGCTCAGCCCAACCACGTCCTGCCCTCGCTCCCTTTGGACTGGGCACGAAAGGAACAGACCCGCCTGCCTGGGTGCCTTGAGCAGGGTGAATTTGGGGAGAAGCTTCCCGATTTTCCACTCAAAAGATCTAACTGATAGTAAAGGAAGGCGGGATTTCAAGGCACCTGAGGGCTGCAGGGGGTAGCTGTCAGCTCCTCCTCAGCTGGGACATCAGTGCTTGAAGGATGCAAGAGACTCTGACAGTGCCCTGGTCCTGACCTGCTCTGAGCCCGGGGTGGTCTGGGGGCGGTGGGAGCTCTCTCCTCATGCCCATCAGCTCCCCATGGACAGACAGTTCTTCCCACTTTTCCCAGTTCTGCCTTGGTACTGCTGCTGTCTCCCTCCACACACACACATCTGCTCAGCCTCTCCTTGGTTAATGTGCACTCCTTCCCTTGGACTCAGCTCTGCCCTCTGGGAGCCTGGCATCCCTACCCCAGGCTGTAGCAGAGTTCCAGGGAGGAATTAGGTAGACAGGAGGTGGAGGGAAAGCAGAGGTTCCCAGGCAGCTTCCTCCCTCCTCTTCACCATGACAAAGGTGAGAGTCCAAGAGAAGGAAGGAGTGAACTGAGCCCTTCCTGTAACATCCATCATCCTCCCAAGAGGGAACAATGCAGGTCAGTGAGCTGAGCTGGGCAGAGGGGGATGTTACCTAAAGCAGAGCTGAAAATCTGCTTAAACTTTAGGGTTTATAACAAAACTGGTCCCAAGCTACAGGCAAACTGCAGACTCTGCAATGAAACAGGAAGATTTGGGAACTAGCAGCTCTCCTGACAGCCCTGTGCCTTCCACCTGCCACCTTGGTCATCCAACACGACCTGGAGCCCTCCTGTTTTCCTGTTCAGGACCAGCCAACACACCTCCACCCCGCCCTGCCATTCCAGGTGTCCTTTCAGCCCTTCCTGATGAACAAGCTGCCATTCCTGATGGGCATCCTGTGCCAACGTGGATAAACATCCACTGGGGAATCACCTGAAACTACCACTCTCATTTCCACTTGTGACTCGAGCCAGACTTCCCTATGTACAGAGAGATTAAATTTCTCTAAGGTTAACACAAGATAATTTTTTGTTCAAATATTTACAGTTAAAACTCACCAAAAAATCAACAGGATTCTGCTGGACAGTGCTCAACCACCCACAGCCCCCAAAGGCAAACAGGGTTTTATGTGGTATTTAAAGCATCCAGAGGCATCCACAATTCAGCCCTCCCAAGTGTTCCCCAGGCCAGACTGGGTCCCTGCCATACATCCATGGCTCTGAGGGAAGTAGGAAGAGGGAAGCAGGAAGAACTTGCTGTCTTTTTCTTCTTAATAATGGTGACCATGTGGACACAGCCAGAGTGGGTCACCAGCCCCTCACAGGGTCACACTGACAAAGGAGGTGGAGGCCATCTCTGAACTGCACCCAGCAGCCACATTCTTGGGAAGCCAATGCTGTGGAAAAAGGGGTCAGGTTGCTTCTCCCCATGTTTGGCTTTGTGGAGCTGTTTGTGTCTCCTGGATCCAAGACTTCCCTGGCAACACAGCGGAGCTGTCGTTTGGAGATCTTCTCCTTTCTATCCAGGATGTTTAAATTCAAGCCTCAAACTTGTGGTTGGCAGGGAACGGGGGCAAACAAACAGCCAAACAATCTGCTGTCAGTTCCTGACAGTCTGGCCTGCAACAGTTATCCCTCCTGTCCGTGAGGAATGCCCGAGCACAGAGGCATTGGCTCAAGGGCCTGTCACAGAGTTAAAGTGCTCAGGCTTAAGTACAAGAGAAAATTAGAAAAAAACAGACAATAAGTGTATTGAAACATTTGGGCTTTGCTCCCTCCTCTGTAAGGTCTGTTGTTTCACTGGCAGAGGGAAGGCTGGACTCATCCACAGCTGCACTGAACATCTGGGGGCTTGAGGAACATCCCCTGACTGCTTCTAAACCTTTCTGTTTGCTGCTCCCCCACCTCTGACCCTCTTTTTGGCATGCCAACCTCCATTTCCAGCCCCCCTCACCCACTGTTCCTGTGTGCAGGGTGTGCACTGAGGTGCCAGGGGTTCCTGGGAGGTAAGTACAGCTCAGTTTGACAGAGCTGCTGAGGAGGTGCAGAAGCTCAGGTGGAAATCACCCTCTCCTCTCTCTGCTCCTTTCCAAAGCTGAAGGGGTTAGAGGGAAGCTCACCTCTGTGAGCCAGTGCTGAGGAACACTGGCTGGATCCCTGCATGAGAAGCTCTGAAGGGAGCACAGACATCCTCAGGTGTTAATCCCATGGGATGAGTTGGTTTAACAGCCTCCTTTCCCTGGGTGGACAATCAGCTTCCACAGGGAGTCAGTGACTTTCTGAGACTTTTCAAACAGACAGTGCTTTTCTGGGATGAAGCTCCCACCTCTGAAGGGTTCTCATCTCTCCCAGTGCCCTGGGGCTTTCTGCTCACATACACTCCGCTCTCTCACACAAGACATCCTGCAATGCCACCTCATGCCAGCTTCCCTCTCTGCTGGATGCAGAAGCATTTCCATGCAGCCATGGTGTTTCTGGATGATCCCTCAACTCCACCAGGCTCACAGGGAATGCAGGAGTGTACAGGACTCCTTCCTCTGGGTTGTCACTATTGTCCCTCTGACAAGGCAAGCCCCAGCCCTGCAGCTGGCAGGTCAACATTCCCTGTGCTGCTGAACAAGGAAACACAGAGGAGGGAATGCAGACAATATCCTAAACAAATCTGCTGTTTACAAAGTCCCCTGTAAACTGTTTACATTGCTGGGGAGAAACCATGGAGGAACAGCAGCTGGACCGTGTTCTTCCCAGTGGGAAGAACTCCACTCCTGTTTGCTGCACTCCTGTGGGATGGAGTGGAGCTGATGCATGTCTGGAAGGCTGCAAACGCATGAAAGGAAAGAAGAGGCAGCAAAATCCCAGTACCACCCACTCCCCCAGCCTGCCAGGACCTCTGGCTGCCTCAGCACTGCCTCCCAGAGCACACTCTGAGGGACACGGCATGTCCTTGGGGTGCAAGGTGGCAAGGGACAGCTAACCTCGGGCTGCTGAGCAGTGCCTGGGGTGGTGAGGCTGCTGGCAGAGGAAGCAGTCCTGGAGGAGCCAGCCCTGACCCTCCCTGGAGCCCCTTGGCTCTCAGACACATGTGAAGTGCCTTGTGACTCTCATGCCTCGGAGCCGCGGTGTGTGGTGCCAGCGGCCGCTGCTGCATTATAGACATGGCTAAAAATGGGGCCTCAGAAAGGCCAGCAAGAACATTTCGAAGTGCTGGCATAAAATAAAAGCCTCAGTGTGCCTTTAATCTGCCCTGTTTCCTGTCCATGGAAAGCTCTTTGAAGTGCCTGTGCACAGGGCAGCGCTGGAACACCCGTGACCCAGCTGACCAGGGCCGCGTGGGCTGGAGACACAGCGTGACTGCCCGAGCCGTGGGGCTGCCTTGGGGGAAGGCATGGAAGGGTTAAACCCAAAACCCACCCTGGATCGGTCCCCTGATCACACTGGAAGGTTCATTCTGTTACTTGAATAGCTGAGCAGGACGTGAGAAAACAAGGCTTCCACTCCAGGAAGGTGATAAGTGCTCTGAGCCCAGAAATAGCACAAAGGGGGGTATGTGGGGATGGGCAGCCAGTTGGAACAGCAAGGACAGGGAAAACATCCTCCCTATACATGGTATGGCAGCCCTGACCTGGTGGTTGGAAAGGAACACAGGTACAATGATTAAAAAAAACAAAAAAAGAAAGTGGGCAAACTCATTTGTCCAGAGAAGCTGTGGCTGCCCCATCCCTGCAAGTGTCCAAGGCCAGGTTGGACCAGCTTGGAGCAACCTGGGATAGAGGAAGGTGTCCCTGCCTGTGGCAGGGGGTGGAAGTGGATGAGCTTTATGGTCCCTCCCTACCCAAACCATTCCATGACTCTATGAATACAGGTACAAAGATTCTAAAAAAAAATGAAAGTGGTTAAACTCACCCATCTGGTGTCCAAGGGCAAGCAGGGACACCACAGAGCTCCATCAGCAAGAGGCAAGGGATGTTCATCCACATTTACTTCCAAACATAGAAGAACTCCACTCTCAGCACCAGTCCTGCCTTTACTTTCCATCCAGTCAGTCTTCCAGGGCCCAGCTGTGTCCCTTTCCTGACCAGGAAGAGGATGGAGGGGTCTCCCAGCAGAGGCAAACATCCCAACCAGCAGGAATGTCAGAGGCATCTGCAGGACCTCTCACAGACCGAGCTAAAAGAAATAAAACAGGGGGAAAAAAACCCAGAATTTGTCAGGACAAGACATAACAAAAGATCATCAGGTTCCTTTGCTGAAGTAAAAAAACTCAAATCTAAGCACATTTTTCAGAGCCAACCCCAAAGAAAACTGGGGTTTTGCTTTCAGAAGCTTTCGTGCAGTTACAAACATGACAGCCAGCTAAATTTCTGAGTGAGAGACTCTCCAGAATGAAAACTTGAGCCATTTAGTTTTAAAATAAGTCAGAAGGATTGAAGCTGTAATCCCACACGAGTGCTGAGTGGGATTCCTTGGCTGAAAATTACTTGCTCAGCTTGACCTGAACTTGGAGGATATTTTTGCTTGACCCCACGTGGCTCAGGCCCAGTGACAGGGACCTTCAGACCCCGGTCCTTGCAGAGGAGCATCAATCCTCAGGGATACCCCAGTGCTCCTTCAGTTTGGAATAGGTGCTAGGATTTTTGGTGGATGAGCAGCATTTCCCACTTCGATTTTAATTCTTGGTACTGTGGATCACTTCTCAACCAGCCACCCTTCAGAGCACAAGGCAGGGGGAAGAGATTCCTCCATGCAACACCTCCAGTGTGAGCAGATTGCCCAAAGATCCCACGGGCAAAGGCAGAGGGAGAACTCAGCAAACTCATCTACCATAAATTCCCTCACTCCTCCTGTGACAAGCTGGTCAGCCCGTGTGTCCTGCTAAGGGGACAGGGCTCTCCGAGTCAGCTGAGCATCTCCTCCCTTCCCATTCCCAGGGGGTTTATTACTATGAATCATTAAAACACAGCCCAAATGGCCAGGAATTAACCCACACACTGTCCCAGTGTGCAGCTCCAATCCCATGTGTTTGGCAATGTCCCAAAGTCATCTGCTGGAACAGTCACAGAAGTACCCAGAGCAGCCCTACACCCCCAGCCTCCTCCTGCACCTTCCAGGGGCATCCCTGCTCTGTGCCCCTGGGAGCTGTGGGAAAGGGCTTCTCAGCAGAGCTGAGAGGTGGCAGTGCCTGGTTTTGGGTGAGGGTCAGTGCCCCCTGTGCTTGCCCAAGGTCAGCGAGGGGTGGGAGCTGCCCTCACCCCCCACATCTCCTCACCGAGGGGTCTGTCTAGACAATCCTCCCCGCTGGGACTCCCAGGGCCCTTCCACGCACGGAAGTGTTCCGGAATTCTTGCAATTAATTCTCTGTCATCCCCGAAACAGCACTGCTGTGCAGAGGAGTGCCACAGATCAGCAATTAAGGGGCAGAGACAGACGGCCAAGGGAGGCTCAGCAGGTCACACCTGTGCTGCTCCAGAGCTGCTCTGGGAGAAGGCCCTTAGCAAGCTCCGGAGGGAACGGCAGCTCCCAAGTCAAACCCAAGTAATAAGATGATCTTGTAGGGGGCAAGATTAATCATTATTGGCAGCCAAGAATGTGCAAGTCTAACAAAAGCCAAAGGTTTTTTTATTACAGTCCAACTGCAGCTGGGAAGACAATGTTAGCTAAGAATCATGAAATCTATTGCAAGAATAAATTTTCTTTGAACCAAACCATAAAATGGGAGTAAAATCCTCTTAAGCCAGTGGCAGCTCCTAATGGAACAGACATTATTACTTTTTTTCTTGCAAGCCAAAAATAAAAAAAAAAATTTGCTTTAGATTATTAAGTGGATAGATTAGACTCCAAAATGGAAAATATTTACTTGAGCAAAACCTGCTTAAATTAATACCTGCCCTAATTAATTTTTAAGTTTGGGTTTATAATTGAATGGAGCAATGATGATGTTTTCTGCCTGTACAAACAGGGATTTGTGAAGCCTGTTTACCCAGAATTCAGGCAGGAGGAGAAGCATCTAGGAAAACTTTCCCAGGTAACATCAGTGCTGCTGCACGTGCCAGGGATGAGTCTGGCAGCTCCTGCAAGCCTGGAAGGTGAAGCCAAGGTCCCTCCTCACAGTCGGTCATTAAATTTCCTGGAACGTCTGACCAGGAGGTCAGTCTGATATTATCAAACACGAAAACTAGTACAGAAAAATGGAAGTCATTTCTCTCTGCAGGCTGATTCAGTCTCTGCTTTCAGGGCAAGTTTGGTGCACTCCCCCCCCAGTGCTTCTCCCTTGCTGCCAGAGAGCAGGAGAGGCAGGAAGGGAGTGGAACTCGGAGCATTCACACAGGCTCTGTACACCCAGGTGGAAAACACACCTGCACAACCCCTTCTCTGGGGCAGGCAGTGCAAGGAGGGAGCTGTGTCCTGTTCTGGGAGCTTTTCCCACTGCCAGACACTCCTCTGTGTTTTGGACAATCTGTCTTCCTCAGCTGTCATGGGCTGCACTCCCTTCCCTCTTTCCAGAGGGTATCCTTGGATGCTCAGACCTTTCGGACCTCTAAAAAGTTTCCTGATCTAGATGTGGCCTCTGCACAGGGCATTTTTTGCATCAGCAAGTCAAGGGAGGGGATTCTGCCCCTCTCAGGTGAGACCCTCCCTGCAGAGCTGCCTCCAGCTGAGTCCAACAGTAGAAGGATGTGGAGCTGCTGGAGTGAGTCCAGAGGAGGCCACAGGGCTGATCCAAGGGCTGGAGCCAGGTTGGGAGAGCTGGGGGTGTTCATCTGGAGAGGAGAAGGCTCCAGGGAGACCTTAGAGCCCCTTCCAGAGCCTAAAGGGGCTCCAAGAGAGCTGGAGAGGGACTTGGGACAAGGGCCTGGAGGGCCAGGAGAAGGGGGAATGGCTTCCTACTGCCAGAGGGCAGGGATAGATGGGATATTGGGAAGGAATTGTTGGCTGTGAGGGTGGTGAGGTCCTGGCACAGGACAAGCTGTGGCTGCCCCATCCCTGGAAGTGTCCAAGGCCAGGTTGGATGGGGCTTGGAGCAACCTGGG